AGTAATGAAGATTTCTAGGATATAATTCTCCAGATTAAAGGCAATTAAAGACATGAAAGTCAAATACAGTATAGGAKCTTACACTGAACATGGAACTGAAAGATTAGGAAGATTGACCAAACTGAAATATGATCTTCTTTAATATTTTTAAATATGTTAATTATAAAAGGGAAGATAAAAATTTTAAAGAATATTACAAAGGGAGAGGATATAGTATAGAAGAAACAGGAATGGAAGTGTTAACTTCTCTGTAAGCTCTAAAGTTGGATCCAAGTAATAAAAAAGCAGTATTAAATGAATACAAGGCAGTCCTTAAAAATAAAAAAAGACAAATGACCCTAATTATACCAAATTGGTAGCTACACAGAAATAAATTATTTCATGGGGCTAGGGTTGAGGCTCAGTGGTAGAGTGCTCATCCAGTGCATGTGTGAGGCACTGGAGTCGATCTTCAGCACCACACAAAWAAATAAATAAATAAAAAATAAATAAGATATAATTATTGTGTCCACCTACAATTTAAAAAAATTTCAAAAAAATTATTTCACCTGATTTGAAAGCAGTAATTTGTGGGAGTGAGTATTCCTGAGAACAAAAGGAATTGCAAAGAAAATTTAACTTTCAGTAATCAGATTGTAATGATTGTTGATACTAATTATGGTATTATTTTGAAAATATTATATGTATTCTAAGATAAAGCAAGCAATTAGTTGGCCAAAGATATTTGAAACCAAGAAACACAATCCAAGTGATGATATAAATATGAAAAGAAATTAGGTAAAAAAAAAATCTGCAAATTTGAATTTCAGTTGGAAAAGTATAAATTAATGTATCTTCTCTAAAAATACACATATCCTAGTCCATTCCCTTAGAAGTAATCTTAAAAACAACAACCAGTCCAGAAGTAATAGATTTACCTAGTACTGAGGTTCCTATTATTTTCCCATTTAAACAGAAGGAGAGCTTTTTGATGAAATTTCTGAGTTACAGCCTGAGGCAAGAAATATGCAAGGTGAGCCTGGGACATCTTGTCATGCCAGAAAGCAAGTAAGCTATCAAAGATTACTGAAGTCTTGTCAAAAGGACTCTGGAGCTAATCAAGGATTTCCTATTGGCTAAAAGTGGGACAGTATGGAAATCAAGAAGGATGCTAAAGTGTATTAAAATTTATGAAATAAGTTCAAATCCATGAGGTTTTAATGAAACTTTAAAAATTATTGATGTGCTTTGAAGAATGCTAGTGGTTTTTACTCTTTTGAAAATTGGTAAATAAGAAAAAGAAATGAAAATGCCTTTCATTTATGAACTGTGCCTCAAGGATAACTAATATGAAGAGAGAAAGTTTCTTTGTATTGCCCCTAAAGAAGAAATTATATTGGATAAATGAAGAATGATAAAATGCCACCATTTTGCTCCCTCTAATTAAATAATGGACAAAACCACACAATCACTAATGATTGCTAAACTTGTTAGGTATAAACTAATTGAAGAAATCTAAATGGAGAATTAGGCTAGGGTGAAATCTTTCATGAAAGGCCTTATAGGTGTCTGACTTTTGTTAGAGAAAGACTGGAGACTTAAAATTATGCTATGATTAGATTAAATTTGGAGCATTTGTAGTACTAGGCTGAAAGAGTTATTAGGGAAAGGCTATTCATATATTTTAGCTTATACTTTTATGTCTGAATATAGAGATTTTTTTTTCCCGTTTTCCCCTGCACACACACACATATTTTTAATTTTTTGAATGTATAAACAAGGTATATAAAATTTGCACAATTTCAAAACTGAAGAATATTTGGCAATCCGTATTGCCTCTACTCTCTCAGCTGGTTTATGCTGCTATTCTTGCTTTTTTCAAAATAATAAACAAGTGTATATAAATATTTCCATCTTTCTTGTATAGAGGAAGCATACCATATTGTTTTGTATCTTGCTTTTTTAAAAAATTATATTCTAGAAATCACTCTGTAGCAGTAAAAAGATATTCTACATTCTGCATATTCCTTTTTTAATTGACACATTAGATCTGTACATATTTATGAAGTACCATGTGATATGTATGTGTGTGTGTGTATGTATATACATACATATGTATATATATATATATGTATGTATATATATATGTATGTATATATGTATATATGTATATATATATATACATACATATATATATACATATGTATGTATGTATAATGTTCAAGTCAGGTTAAGCATGTTTATCTCCTTAAATATTTATCATTTCTGTTTTGGGAAAACATTCCAAATATTTTCTTTTAGCTTGGATTTTTGAAATAAATGACATTGTCTTTGGGAAAACATTCTAAAACTTCTACCTTGGTTTTTTGAAATAAATGACATTGTCATCATCTGTAGAACACCAGAACTTATTTCTCGTAAGTATAATTTAGTACCCATTGGTACTCCTCCCGCAGCATCTTTGCTTTTTTTTTTTTTTTTTTTGGTACCGGGAATCAAACTTTTACCACTGAAGTACATCATTCTCTGTCCTTTTTGTTTGTTTGAGACAGAGTCTCAGTAAGTTGCAGAGGCTGGCCTTGAACTTGTGATTCTTTCTCCCTCATCTTCTTGAGTGGCTAGGGTTACAGGTAGGCATCACTGTGCTCAGCCACCTATTCTTCATCTTACTAGAGAACAATGAAACAAAATAAATACTTCTAATTCCAAAGGTAAACACATTCTAATAGTAAACCTAGGGTCATACTGTTGGTTTTATTTCCAAACAGAATTACTCCCTAAATATGTGAAATGAAAAATTCCTATATTCACTTAAGAATTTTGATTTGTTAACAAGCAGGGTTGTGTGTGTGGGTGTGTGAACACTTGTGAATGGAACCCAGGGCCCTGCAAATGCTAATTAGCACTCTATCATTGAGCTATACTCCCTGAATCCCTAAGGAGCAGTTTTGACTAGCAGTGCATCTGGAAGATTTATTTTAAAATGTAGGCCTATAATAGAGCCCTCCCCCAGATTTATTCACTCATTATCTACTTTATTTTTGTGTGTGTGTTACTTGGGATGAAACCCACAGGTGCTCTACCATTGAGCTATATCCCCAACCTTTTTTGTTTTTCAAGTCAGGATCTCACCAAGTAGCCTAGGTGGGCCTTGGATTTGTGATCCTCCTGCCTCAGCCTCTCAGTAGCTATGATTACAGGCTTGTGCCATGGTGCTTGGGTTCATCCATCTACTTTTAGAGTATTTGTTGAGCACCCAGCTGTACAAGGTTCTATGTTAAGTACTCTGGAAAAAATATAGTGAAAAAAGTTATAAGCTATTAAAATGAGGACTCTTGCTTAACTCTTCTCACTTGAAGACTAAGTTTAATAACACTTCATTCTGAATGCTTGTTGATTACTGTACCAGTCTAGTTGTGTCTGGATCAGTTGTCTTAAACATAGCACAAAAAGATATTTGTCAGTTTACATGAATGTCTCAAGGTTAGTTCTTTAATGGTAAGGACTTTGTCTCATTTTACTCTACTTAGTGTCTTATTGAGTCAGTGAAAATTTTTCTTAGCTAGTGTGTTAAATGGAGAAATAAAATCATTGCTAAAATTTTTTCTAAGGGAATTTAAGAAAACTGTTTGGATTTGTTTGTGGTACTGGGATTGAAGCAAGGAGTCCCTATCACTGAGCTAAATCCCCATTTTTATTTTTTATTTTGAGGCAGGGTCTCACTAAGTGAGATTGGCCTTGGATTTGCCATCCTCCTGCCTCGGCCTCTTGAGTAGCTGAGGTTACAGGTGTGCACTACTGCACTTAACTTTTTTTCTTTTTTTGAGTTTAAAGACACTGTGCTATTTTGGGGCCTCAGAACCATGTGATGAAAGGGTAGAAACTGGCAAAATGATCTTGATAGCATAAACCTTTCAGAGACAAGTTTTCATTTACTGTTTTCCAGGAAGAAAAGCCTTCTACTAGATGTTAAGAACATGATACACTTTATATTTTAACTTATATCTGACTTGTGGAATCAAAATCCTTTCTGCAAATGTTTATTATGCAAAAAATAAGTCCTTGTTCTGAAAAAAGGATTAGAGTAACTTTATTTTGTAGTCTGTTTTCTTAGGCCAGTTCTGCCATCTGGTGGCACTATTGAAAATTACAGAAGGTAGTAAAACTTTTGTTGTATATACCTGCACAAGCTGTTACTTATGGGTTTTCTGAAGCTAGATGAAATTCTGTCAAAAGCTGAGTCTACCATATTTACAGAGATTTAATACCCAAGTTTCCAACCATTCATATGTAAATACCACATGCAAAAACGGCCTTGAAAATAAAAACAATTTTACTCAACTGTTTAGTTCAGGTGATTTCTCTCCTACTTTAGATCAATAATTAAAAATGGGAAGAAAGATAGTTTCTCAATCAGATGATAATTGCTTTCTCATGGTTGTGTGTGGATGTTAGGAAATGTTACRAGAATTTGTTATTACCTCAGATTTATTTTTGTAGAACGATGAGAAATTTAAATGATTTTCTTAGAAGTATTATTGATATTTTAATGTAAATTACATTTTATAGTAGCTTAATTATAGTAAATTGCCATCTCCTGGAATGATAGAATGTAGAAATAGTCTTGAAAACAAATGAGAGCTACAAATAAATTTTTTTCACCTGATATAAAGATTTTCAACATATTAAATCTTTCGTTCATACAATTTCTTTTTTGTAATTGCTAAAGCTGGCCTCTTAAACGTGTATGTACCATACCTCAAATTTATTTTCTTTCCAAGTGTCTGACCTTGGAGCCTACAATTGGGGTTTTGTTTATTAACTTCAAGGGAGAATATCTTATTGCATATGTTTTAAAATCTGTCAGATATGTTACTATAAATTAAATAACATTGATTCTCTTTTCTATTTGGATATAGACAGTTGATATATTGAAATAATGGTTAATGATCTGGAACTTCCTTCTGACTATTAAATTCCTAATGAATATTGTTTGAAATATGTGTGTTTTCTAATTGTAGCCAGTCGGATGATGATTCTGGTTCAGCTTCAGGCTCTGGATCAGGTTCGAGTTCTGGAAGCAGCAGTGATGGAAGCAGTAGCCAGTCAGGTAGCAGTGACTCTGACTCTGCCTCTGAATCAGGCAGTCAGTCAGAGTCTGAGTCAGACACATCACGAGAAAACAAAGTTCAAGCAAAACCACCGAAAGTTGATGGAACTGAGGTAATAAATAAAATATCCAATGAAAATTAAATTTTGGGCATTACTTTGGGAAAATTTATAGGGTTACAAAACAATTTTAAAACAAAGTTTACTTTTAGTAATTCTACAAGTTGTGGCTATATATCAGTGTGAACTATTAGCTTAAGTGAAACAGTCTAACTATAAAATGGCACATGTAACATAAATGTATATGCAGATAAAGCCTTTTCTACCTCTTTCTGAGGCAAAAGTTGAATTTCATAAACAGTAGTTTCATGGGTAAAAATTAAAGACTTCATGCGGTCTACTTGTTAAGCTTACTTTATTACTAATAGGAGGAAGATTTAATATTTGCTTCTTAAAAGATAATTGGTAGAATAGGATAGGTTTTTTTTCTGCTTGAAACAAAGTACTACAGCATAAACTAAAACCTGACCATACTTCCTGATAGTATATGCTATGTTACTTAGAGTATCGGTCTTTAATGAGATTAGATGCTTGGGCCCCAGAGTATAAATCAACCTACAACTGCTTTCATAGAGAAAAATCTTGCTTTAAAAGAAGAAAGGTCAGCTGAGCTTATTGTGTTTACAGTGACATAGTTGATTTGTATTCTGACTCAGCTCTTCATCTTCACTCACACTGATAAAATAGGTAACTATACTGAGTAGCACAGGTATAGCATATTTTCAATTTGTTTTTGAAAATAATGCTCTTAAAAGAGGAGGATGATTATTGTCATCTATGAAACTTGACACTCCATTAATTTTCTTATATACAGTGAAGTCTGGCATTTTATTTTAATTATTTTGCAGTGATACTGTATTTGTAACATGAAAGAGGAAAATAGTCAATTTATTATTTGGGTAGAGAAAATGTTAGAATTGACAGTAAATTGTTTTTCTGTTTTTGCCACATATCATCTTTTTCCTGGTACATGTTTCTGTTACAGTTCTGGAAATCTAGCCCCAGTATTCTTGCTGTTCAGAGATCTGCAATGCTTAAGAAGCAGCAGCAGCAGCAGCAACAGCAACAGCAACATCCAGCTTCATCTAATAGTGGATCAGAAGAGGTGAATTTTCATAATGAGTTATTATTTTAAAAGTAGATCATATGTTTGACCATTTAATATTAATGAAATTATTAAAAGCAATTTCTTTGAAAGGATAAATAGAAAATACCTGCATTTAAATATACTTGTAAAAAAAATCTTGAAATATAGACAATGTTATCCAGTATTTCCACTTTAGAGATTAATTCAGAATAATGTGAAATTTGTGTGCATTTGCTCATCATAGCAAAACTAGAAATTTGGGCTGGGGTTATAGCTCAGTGGTAGTAGAGCACTTGCCTAGCATATATAAGGCACTGGGTTCAATTCTCAGCACTGCGTGTATGTGTGTGTGTGTGTGTGTGTATAAACAACTAGAAATAAACGTAAATGTGAAATTTGAAGGACAGAATTAAATAAGACATATACATCTGTACACACCAGTGGATGAATATTATAGTAGTAAATTTGTATAGAATGTTAACATGTTTTTTTAAAAGTGTTTTTATTTCTAACTAAAACAGTTGTACATATTTATGGGGATAGGGTTTGATATTTTATTGCATGTATATAATGTGTAAGATCAAATGAAGGTGCTTGGCATACCTATCACTTCAGATATCATAATTTGTTTGCGTTGAAAATACACTGTCCTCTCTACAATTTTGAAATATTCAGTTAATTATTGTCAGTTAATAGTTATCTTACCGTGCTATGTAACATTAGAGTGTTTCCTCCTGTTCAGCTGCCTCCACTACTGTACCCATTAATGAGCCTGTCTCCATCCCTCCTTCCCCCACACCTTTCCCAGGCTCTAGAAACTATTATTCTTTTAGTTTCCACTTATGAGTGAGAATTTATGATTGTCTTTTTGTGCTTCATTTATTTCAGTAAACATGTCCTTCAGTTCCATCCATCTTGTTGCAAATGATAAAATTGTTTTTTGTAGCTGAATAATATTCCCTTAGTGTATATAAACCAACATAGATTGGTTTCATATTGCGGCTAGTGAAAAACTAAATTATTGTCATAATAGTTTTTAAAGACTAGACTGCAGTTATAAATAATGTAGATTCTGTGTGTGTGTATAAGTATACATAAATGTGTGTTTGGATAGAAACATTCAGATAGAACTGTGTCAAAAATTATCTACTGTTGAAGAATAATGTTATTTCAAAATTTGGAATACCAAATTCCTTCTTGTGGCTATACTACACAGCAATAATGATCACCTGAGATGGTAGATTTTAAGGTTTTATACAAAGTGCTGACATTATGATATTTATCTGATTTTGTTATCTCAATTCCCAATAAAATGTTATTAATTATTTTAAGCCAGCTAATGTAAATATAAGAACATAGAACAAAAAGAAAAGAACTTAAGCGTACTCTTATTAGCAAAGTGAATATTATATAGTATACCTGCTTGGTTAAATTTTAAACATTTATGAGTGACTTTTTAAAAATTTTTCTTTGCAGGATTCCTCTAGCAGTGAAGATTCTGATGATTCATCAAGTGAGGTCAAGAGGAAAAAGCATAAAGAGTATGTCATTTTGTTCAGCTGACTACTTTTGCATCAGGAAAATACTAATAACTTTGTATTTCTTTATGAAAGTTGTTGCCAAAAATAGACTTTTAGAACTTCTTTGTTCATGGCATTTATGATTTAAACCATTAACCCATAACATTTATCTTTCTTAGATTTTTGTGCCACTTCTTTATCTCTTATAATTCTCACCCCTAAATATTTGTAAATTTTAAAGATCTACTTAGCCTTAATATCAAAAAATCTTAATAACTTGGGAAATTTAGGAGTATAGGGATCATAGGGTAATTGATGATTGTTAATTTATGTTAATAATTATCCTTACTATTTATCTGCACATGAAATTTACTTCACTGACATGAAAGAAATCAATTAGAAACTTACTGTATTTGCATAAAAACCATGACTCAATAAGTACCTCAGATTCTGAGTTTATATAGATTTGAAATGATTTTTTTTTTCTCATTCTTTAGAAGCATTGTTCTGTTGTTTGATCTCTAAATGTTCTATTGGTCTTTAATATTTGGAATATTCACTTTGTTATATCTGTGTTTGGATATGTTGTTTTTCCCACAGGATTCATATATCTTTAATATAAGAATTCATATTTTTTATTACTTTTTGAAAATTCATTCATTATATCTTTGAATGTTTTCTTTTTGTTTTTAACTCTCAGCTACTCCAAATCTGTGGTCTTCTACTTTTCAGGTTGTTTTTCCTTTTCTTGCAGGGCTAGCAGTCTAACCCAAGGTTTTATACATGCTAGTTAAGCACTTTACCACTGAGCTAGCCTTGTATTCTAGTTTCTAAAGCAAAATAAGTGCAATTTCAAATATGTTGTCTCTTCAACTATTTAAATCTTTCACTGAGTTATTAATTTTTAAACCTAAAATGAATATAAGTATATTTATTTATTTATTTATTTTTATGTGGTGCTGAGGATCAAACCCAGGGTCTCACGCATGTAAGGCAAGTGCTCTACCACTGAGCTACAAACCCAGCCCTAAGTATACATTTTTTAAAATGAATGGTTTTGATAAATTTACTTCAATATAGATTATAATTTACAAAAAATATAATAGATTTTTTCATATGGCCTGCATATTGCTACATTCAGTGTCCAAACCTTAAAAAGATCTCAAGATAACAATTTGCTTTTGTTATTTACTTTCATAATCAGATTTTATCTGTGTTTGTTTTTATAATCTTTAGCATACTCCTGATTAATGCAAGAGACACAGAGTAATGGAGCAAAAGCTATAGCCAATGCAAGATATAATATAGGTTGATTATACCTATTTGAAGTGCTTGAGTCCAAAAGTGTTTCACATTTTTGTTTTTTCACACTTTGGGATATTTACAGACTTTACCAGTTGACCATCCTTAACCTTAAAATTAAAAATCTGAAATATTTCCAAATCTGAAACATCCCAAATATGATGATGGCAAAAAATTTCAGATTTTTTATTTGAATTAGGGATATTCAACCTGTACATGTAAGAATTTAATATACGTGTGTTTTATTTCAACTTTATCTAATAGTAAAACACTGACATGTGCATCCAATATTTTATTCTCTTCATGTGAATTGGAAAGAAATAGATTAAATGACTAAAAATAGTAATAAAGATAATTGTTGAATATTGATTGAGATGATACTATTGGTAATTTTTTTTATTTTTTAAACACTTTTTTCTAAATAAGCTTTTCTTAATGAAAATATACCATTAGTAAATTCAGTTTATTAAGACATTTTACAAATCACAGTCTGCAGAAAATTAAAACGAAAGAAATTGGGTTTGTTTTTTTGAGAGGGCAAATGGAATAATTTTACAAGATTTTCAAAACTAAACCTGTGGCTCTTTTGAGTTAGCATAGTACATTTTCATCTATAATGAGAATCAGATACCATTTTTATGTACAGTTCATTTGAGGTATCTAAATAATTAATAAAAATCTGAAGAGAGAAAAATCTGTGAAGAATATTTTCCAGTGTTATTTTACACACATTTAATATTTTCTAGTATAGGTAAAAGGAATAATATTTTTTATGTTAACTGGAAGAGTATGCGCTCATCTTTGTATTTTACCATACATAACTTAGTTATGTATGTTTAAGTAAAAATACTTTATAAATTTTATATACAGTGAAGATTGGCAGATGTCTGGGTCAGGATCTCCATCTCAGTCTGGTTCAGATTCAGAATCTGAAGAGAGAGATAAAAGCAGTTGTGATGAAACAGAATCGGATTATGAACCCCAAAACAAAGTCAAAAGCAGAAAACCTCAGAATCGGTAAGTGCATTATGTTATTGGTTTGAAAAATTATTAGTTACAGAAGGTATTCATCCTTTTTCTATAGTTCCTCAAAACTTGCTTTAAAATGTCTTTTTTTTTTTTTTTTAAACCTGCTCTTCCTCAGCTCTAAGTCAAAAAATGGAAAAAAGATTATTGGACAGAAAAAGAGGCAGATTGATTCATCTGATGATGATGATGATGAAGATTATGATAATGATAAAAGAAGTTCTCGTCGCCAAGCAACTGTCAATGTTAGCTATAAGGAAGATGAAGAAATGAAAACAGATTCTGATGATCTACTGGAAGTGTGTGGAGAGGATGTTCCTCAACCTGAGGAAGAAGAATTTGAAACAATAGAAAAGTTTATGGATTGTCGGATTGGGAGAAAAGGAGGTATTTTTCAAAAAAGCATTTTATTGTTTGTTATTTAAAGTATTTCTTAATTTTTTTAAAATTTGAAAGCCAAGATGGTGGATTTTTCTTTTGTTTTAATTATTTGCTATAAAACTATTTTTAGATCTTTTCAGAAACTATTCACTTGACCTCATGTCATATGATATTTGGAAAATTTCAAACTTATGCATTTAAATTTTTCTCTTATAACTAAATAATCAGTTGCTATTTAAGTATTTTCAGTTATACAAAGTGTTTGGATTTTGAAATATTTTTCATACATCTTAAATAGTAGGTTGTTTTTAGTTACCTAGAGATGTAGTTTTAAAATATAACATTAAAATAATTAAAAATCATCTGAATGTGGTGGTGCATGCCTGTAATCCAGTGACTTGGGAGGCTGAAGCAGGAGGATTGCAAATTTGAGATCAGCCTGGGGAAGTTATCTCAAAATTAAAAACAAACTAACAAGAAAAACAGCCTCCTAATTGTTAATATTGTGAATTGGCATGTAATCTTGGATGCTCCACTGTGTTTTGGCCTTGTTTATTTTTTGAATTTTAAAAGTGAGGGTATTGGGGCTGGGGATGTGGCTCAAGAGGTAGCGCGCTCGCCTGGCATGCGTGTGGCTCGGGTTCTATCCTSAGCACCACATACAAACAAAGATGTTGTGTCCGCCAAAAACTAAAAAAATAAATAAATAAATTCTCTCTCTCTCTTTAAAAAAAAAAAAGTGAGGGTATTAAATTTAAATAATCTTTATTTCTAAAATTCTGAATTGCTTTTAGGTGTAATATAACTTGACATAAATTTCTGTACTGATTATTCGCTTATATAAGAGGTTAGTTTTGTACTAATATTCTTAGAAATTTAGAGTCAAAGGAAATAATCCTAATCCTATAACAGTTATGTTGAAGGGCTTGTACTTTTGTTTTTAGCTACTGGTGCTACTACCACCATCTATGCAGTTGAAGCAGATGGTGACCCAAATGCAGGATTTGAAAAAAATAAGGAACCAGGAGAAATCCAGTATTTAATTAAATGGAAAGGATGGTCGCATATCCACAACACCTGGGAGACAGAAGAAACCCTTAAGCAACAGAATGTTAGAGGAATGAAAAAATTGGATAATTATAAGAAAAAAGATCAAGAAACAAAAAGATGGTAAGCATGCTGTGTAAACCGCCCCCCACCCCACACACCATATTTATAATTCAAAGATTATCACTAAGCTTTTTTAGTAATAAAAAATATATATTCAAGAACTAAAATAACTACCTGATCTATAGTATGCCATTTCAAGATAAAGCTCTTAGGGTAGCCACATCCAAATTTTTCCTTGATAACAAGTGTGTGTGTATCTAATCTATCTATCTCACTCTCTCTCTCTCTCTCATATGTGTGTGTGTGTGTGTGTGTGTGTGTATAAAAACATATATAATTTATTAAAAATTACAAATTTGTAAAGTTAAAAATTAATGATGCTCCATTTGTTTCAATTTCTTCATTGTACAAGCTTGGCTTATGTGATGAAGTGGTAAAATGGGAGCTTGTGTGCTTAACTGATATGTGTTTGTGATAAGTGTTTAGTAGGATAAGTGATTTAGAGGAGATTTTGAAGTCTATTCTTGGATTAAAATTTTTCAGGTTGAAAAATGCTTCACCAGAAGATGTGGAATATTATAATTGCCAACAAGAGCTTACAGATGATCTACATAAGCAGTATCAAATAGTGGAACGTATAATTGGTTAGTAATAAATGATTCTGATAAAACTTTTATTGTATGTATACTTGAAAAATTTTAAAATGTCGTAAGTTTGATGTTTACATGTCAAATATAGTATTAATTGTATATTTGAAAAATGATAGTATTAATAAAGCAGATGACTAGGTTTTACTTGTGTAGCCTTTGCTGAGAATTTGTTTCTAAAAGTTAAATGTCAAAAGATAAAATAAATACTAATTTATTTCACAGCTCATTCCAATCAAAAGTCAGCAGCTGGTTATCCTGATTATTATTGCAAATGGCAGGGGCTTCCATACTCAGAGTGCAGCTGGGAAGATGGAGCTCTCATTTCTAAAAAGTTTCAAGCATGCATTGACGAGTATTTTAGTAGGAACCAATCAAAAACTACTCCCTTTAAAGACTGCAAAGTGAGTATTATTTGACATTTTTAATCAATGAATATATTTTTATGCATCACAAATTCTACAGGTCTAAGTAGACTTGTATTTTGATTTTAGACATACCTAAGGAGACTACTTTTTGGTTAATAGGTCTTATAGGAAGTAAGGGTCTTCCAATTGCTATATGGTCTTAGATGTGGCATTGACTTTTTTTTTTTAATTTCATGTTTACACATATATTTTAGTTGTTGGTGAACCTTTAATCAATCAATCAATTAATTAATTAATTAATATGTGGTGCTCAGAATCGAGCCCAGTGCCGCCCATTGAGCCACAACTCCAGCCCTGTAGCGTTGACTTTTATCTTTATTGAGTGACATTATGTCAGAAAGATGAAATATTGATGGTAGTGATGGTGATCATTGTGGGGAATAAACTGGGGAAACAAAATAGGGAAATCTTCCTTGAAACTAGAGGGGTTTAAAAATAGCAGATATTTTCTCTGAAGGCAGGAAAGGAAAAGAGGGACACATTCATAAGAAAATATCCTGGACTATCTGGCCTAATACTTTTGAAATCGTCATAGTTGGTATGAAGTTATTGGCGATAGTTTTTGGGTTTGTTATGATTTTTTTTTTTAAGTGAGAGAGAGAGAGAGAGAGAATTTTAATATTTATTTTTTAGTTTTCGACAGACACAGCATCTTTGTTTGTATGTGGTGCTGAGGATTGAACCCGGGCCGCACGCATGCCAGGCGAGCGCGCTACCGCTTGAGCCACATCCCTAGCCCTGTTATGGTATTTTTAAAATCAGAAATGTAATAGAATGCTAAACAAATATTATGGTTTATTTTTAGATGAAGGATGGAGGAATGGTTATGAATGAATCTAACATAGTCTTTGCTTGTGAATACTTGAGTCCCATGTATTTTTGCAGGAGTTGATTTTTCTCATTTGTTTATTCAAGAAGAGGGCAGAATATTTCACTGTGTTTTTGTTAGGATCCTAGAAAATAGTCTTGACTAAATCTTCAGATACATTTTGAGTAGTGACTCTCTGAAATTGATGACTTTAGATGGAATTTTAGTATAATTTCTCATATTTAGTAATTATGTAAGTTAATATTTATTTCCACTACAGGTATTAAAGCAGAGACCAAGGTTTGTAGCCTTGAAGAAGCAACCATCCTATATTGGAGGACATGAGGGTTTGGAATTGAGAGATTATCAACTGAATGGTTTAAATTGGCTTGCTCACTCATGGTGCAAGTAAGTATATTTTAAAATCATTTTGAGATTAAAAATTTTATAAAAAGTTAGAGAAGATTTCCATTATTATAAAAGATAAAGCCCTTTGGGATTTTATATTTATTCCCTGTTTTTTATAAATAGTTTTTATTACATACTAGAAAGAAGGGACTTACATAGTATAACTTAATTGTTGGAATTTTTCAGTGTGTTTTTGTTCAATTTAAATATCATGTGCAGTCTCATCCCACACTATTTCTAGAGTATTTCTCTTTTCTATAGTTATTTACAGTAATAATTTAGTCCACGTTTTCCATATCTTATAGTTTCTGCTCTTGAGAATATACATAACTCCTAGTTGCATTTTAGCTAGGGTTTTTCACCTGTGTTCTTCCTAGATGCTTTTTATAATTATTTAATATCCCTGGACTTTATCTCTAATAGATCATAAGTATGTTCGTATAAATGTGTCCACATGGTATGAAAAGACTTCTGTATGTATTGAATCTTTATTACATACTTACTTTAAAATTTTTTGTTTTTTAACTTTGTAGAGGAAACAGTTGCATACTTGCTGATGAAATGGGCCTTGGAAAAACAATACAGACGATCTCATTTTTGAACTATTTGTTTCATGAACATCAGTTATATGGACCTTTTCTGTTAGTAGTACCACTTTCTACTCTCACATCCTGGCAAAGGGAGATTCAGACATGGGCTTCTCAAATGAATGCTGTGGTTTATTTAGGTGATATTAACAGCAGAAACATGGTAAGTTGTTTCCCCACAGATTTAGAATATAAAATCTGGAAATACTGTCTTTGACCATGAGTATTTTATCTGTTTTGTTTCTGTAGTTCATTCCTTTTGTTTTGTTCATTTGTTTGGTACTGGAGATTGAACCTAGAGGCCCTTTACCACTGTGCTTCATCCCCTGCCCTTTTTATATTGAAACAGGGTCTCAGTGAATTGCTGAGGCTAGCCTCAAACTTGGAATCCTCTTGCCTCATCCTCTCAAGTAGGTAGGATTACAGGCATGTGCCTCCGTGTCTGGTTTGTAGCCTTAATTCTAGCATAGAATTTGCCACAAAGATAAAATAAAAATAATAAAATATCATAATTAGATACAATAAAAATTGGATATAATCAATCAAATAAGGTTTAGATATCATATGTATTTTTTCCAACTCTTATAGAAAATTTCAGATATACAAAGCTGTCAATACAGTGTCACTTCACAATTTTAATTCATTGCCAGTTTTRTTTCTTCTATACCTCTACATATTATTGTCCTCCCATTGTGAAGAAAACTCCAGATATTCATCCGTAAATGTTAATATTAAATGAATTTCTTAGGTTTTATTAAATGAGATCTTTCTTCAGTGGAGGTGTGTATCAAAAAGATGTTTGTTTCTTTTTTTTAAATAAGGTGTTTCTATGATACAGTGTTTGTATTTCATGATGAGATTAATACAGCATGCAGGACATTAAAAATAATTTTTGTTGTATAAACATTCACAGGTTTTTGTATGTGTATGTATTATGAGTGGCTTTTGTTTTAGATATTCAAGGAAAAGAATAATTTGCTTAATTTTCTCTTAATTTATCTTTAAAATTTYTTAATAGATACGAACACATGAGTGGATGCATCCCCAGACCAAACGGTTAAAATTTAATATACTTTTAACAACTTATGAAATTTTATTGAAGGATAAGGTATGTATTATCTCTTTTTTTGTTGTTGTTTGTTTGTATATGTCAGTTTTGCCTTTATTGTATGTTTGTAGACAGTATGAAAGGATAACTTAAATCATGACACAAGCCAACAAACTACAGCTTGTGGGCCTTGAGCTAAGAATGATTTTTAACCTTTTAAAAGGGTTACAGTTAAATGATTATATAGAAAGAACATGTGATAGAGACCACATTTTGATCTGCAAATCCTAAAGTATTTATGATTTTACTCTTTACAGAATATGCTTGCCAACTCTTCACTTAAACCAGTTTGTAGTGTCTTGATTTTGTAAGCATTTTAGAGAGGAGAATGATGCTTAACACGATGAAACTACCACTTTATGAAGCACTGTATTAACTGCTTTACAGCTACTGTGTCAATAAATTCTCTCTTCTACATTCTATTTGTTGTTTCTACTTTATTGAATAGAAATATCGAGTCTCCTAGAATTTAATGAAATTGTCTTAAGATCACACAGTTATTAAGCAGCAGAATCAGGCCTGTTAGAGATCTAAATTTGTATATTAGATAGAGATCTATATAGTACATGAAAGTCAAGTAGTAAATAATACCTGCAGTTGGAATAAGACACTGTTCCAAATTGACATTAATGGAGACCTTCATTGGACTTGGGATTTGTTTAGTGCTCAACCACCGAGCCATATCCCTAGCCCTTTTATTTATTTTTTTTAAGATAGGGAGGGTCTCTCTAGGTTGTTTAGGGCCTGTGTATGTTGCTGAGGCTGACTTTGAATTTGCGATCATCCTGTCTCGGCTTCCCGAGCCACTGTGATTACAGGTTTACAGGTGTGCACCACCACCAAGATTTAAAATCTTGTAAAGTCCTAAATGGTATTATTAATTTTTCCTTTCTTATCATTATATAAGCTAGTATAAATTTCAACCTGATATTTGCTCTATTTTCTAATGGTTAAATTAATCATAGAAAAAACATTTAGTATGATGTTACTTGATTTAAAGACTCCAATAAATCTTGAAATAAAAATTATTTTTMTATTTGGAAATTAGACAAAATTTATTTTTAATTTAGTTTGTTTTAACCTGAATTCACATCAAAGAGGAATACTAAATTTAAATTCCATTTTTTCTCAATATTAACTGTGCTCTTTTGTTTCTTTTAAGGCATTCCTTGGTGGTTTGAATTGGGCATTCATAGGTGTTGATGAAGCACATAGATTAAAAAATGATGACTCCCTTCTTTATAAAACTTTAATAGATTTTAAATCGAATCACCGTCTGCTTATTACTGGAACTCCTCTACAAAACTCCCTCAAAGAGCTGTGGTCATTACTACATTTCATTATGCCAGAAAAGTAAGACTAATTTGGGACATACAATTTTAGTCATGATTTTGTATGCTAATGTTGGATGGAAAAAAATTAATGCAGGTAATAAAAATCAGTTAGTGGTTTTATTGCTCTAAAACATTGTTTCACAGATTATTGAGAAGAATAAAAGGAGATGGGGTGAGATACTATTTGGGGTTTGTGGCATTTTAATTTTTAAATTTTTGTACATAGCCATGTATAATAAATTATAACAATTGATTTACCCATGCTCAAAATATACTTTGCTTGAAAATCAAAATAGTACTATTCTTCATACTAAGTTGTAGTAGTAAAAAGAACAACAAGCTGCTGATAATCCCRTTCTACAAAAAAGGAAAAATAGACTAGAAAAAGTTAAATAACTTCATGATGGGAGCATGCATATTTTTAAATAATAGATTCATAGCTTTAAATGTATGTATTTATTTATTTGGTACTGGGGATTGAACGCAGGGATGCTTAGCCATTGAGCCACATCCCCAGTCCTTTTTTATATTTTATTTAGATACAGGGCTGTTGAGGCTGGCTTTGAACTCACAATCCTCCTGCCTCAGCCTCCCTAGCCTCTGAGATTACAGGCATGTACCACGATACCTGGCTAAATTTTTATTTGTGAGAAATACTTCAGTAATAATTGCTTTCATACTTAAATACTTCTGATTTAAGCCCAAAGAGAATCATGACTTATAAAACTCATATTTTACTTTTATAAGTATATACAATTGAAGGGAGGAAAATTCTTACGACTACCCTGGAAAATCTCATCCACTTTATTATTTTTTTTTTTTATTGTTCCATTATTTTAAATTTTAAAGGTTTTCTTCCTGGGAAGATTTTGAAGAAGAACATGGGAAAGGGAGAGAGTATGGTTATGCAAGCCTCCACAAAGAACTGGAGCCATTTCTGTTACGCCGAGTTAAGAAAGATGTAGAAAAATCTCTTCCTGCCAAGGTTGAGCAGATTTTAAGAATGGAAATGAGTGCTTTACAGAAACAATATTACAAGTAAGCTGTACACAGAACACCTGTTTCAAATATTTAATTCTAGTTGACTTCCATGTTTTTGTCTTGGTGTTCCCACCCTCCCCACAAATAGGATCCTTAAGGGTACCAACTCTTGAATTTTAGAATGGGTTTATCTTATGACATAATGGGGCATAGAGAAAGAGATATAATGGCACCTTCAAATTGTGGGTAATGTAAGACTGAATCATCTTCTAACAGGTCATCTTGTTTCTTTTCTAGATATTATACTGTTACATAATTTTTTTAAGTGTTAGGGTTTCCATGATATTAAGGTATTATAATTATAAGAATTGACAGATGGAGGTTAAAAAAAAAATCAGGACAAAATTTTAGGCCCCCCTGCTTTATGAAGAAGAGCCATAACTTTTTGTGTATATTTTGCATGTCAAAATCTATATAGTACCATTTATTTAAAGAATCAAATGTCCTATCATCTGCTTAAATATTTAATTGCATAAAATAAAGCACATTGCTTCATCTGTTTCAAGTCTTAAGTATCATGCTCTTAAAATTATACTTATTACAAAAGTTGTAGGTTTTAACTAGGGAAAATTTCAAAGATACACAAAAATAGGGTAATAAAATTGTTTTAGTTACCTTTTTATCACTGTGACCAAAAAACCTGACAAGAACAATTAGAGTGGGAAAAGTTTATTTGGGGGCTTAGAGTTTCATATGTCACAGTTCATAGATGACTGATTCCATTTCTCAGGGTCTGAAGTAAGACAGGAGGTGGAGGAAAGCAGATAAAGAAATTGCTCCCCTCACAATACTCCCAATGATCTACTTCTTCCTCCACTCACACAATACCTGCCTGTAGTTGCCACCCAGTTAATCCCAATCAAGGCATTAATGTATTGATTAGTTCTTAAAATCTGATCATTTCACCTCTATACTTTTTGCATTGTGTCTCAGACATGAGCTTTTGGAGGAATGCCACATATCTAAGCTACAACAAATTTTCCTTCCATGTACCTTTCAGCTTAATTTTCGACTCATAACTACTCTTGCTTCATTGCTAGCCATCCTCATTTCTCCTACTTCATATTCTTTTAAGGCAAATCAGAGAGGTACCGTAGTTTCATCCACTCATGTTTTTTTCAGTTTTTCTCTAATAATTGATTAATAAACAAGTTCTAGTATTCCACTTGAAAGTTTAATAAAATAGTTTCTTTATTAGCATTGRATATCATGTTTAAATATTTTTTTATTGTCCCAAACTTTGCTTTTTAAGTTTAATTCAGTCAGGATTGAAATACATCCATTTATCTATAGGGCTCCCCCCTCTTTTTTTTTTTCCCCTAAAACTTATTTGATAAGAAAAAGTTATTCTATAGAATTTTTCCAGTGTAGATTTTGTATAGTACTCTCCATAAAATAGTTTAAAATATCTTATTTCCTATATGTTGGGAGATAGCTCCTTGTTCAAAGTCAGGTGTTTTGGGTTTTTTTTGTTTTTGTTTTTTAGTTGTTAATGGACTTTTATTTTACTTCTTTATATAAGGTGCTAAGAATCGAACCAGTACCTCACATATGCCAGACAAGCTATGTATCATACTGAGCTACAACCCCAGCCCTAGGGTTGTAGAAGAGCCATAACTTTTCAGCCCTAGATTCAGATTTTTAATTTATGATGAGTATGTTTTGTAGTGCAAATGATAATATTCTAATTCTGATATGGAGTTGTTTTTTAAGAATGTTTATGGAAAATTTGGAAATATAAGGAAAAGTAGACAGAAGATACAATTTCTTCTAATACTCAGTGCTAGTCATATATCATTAAACTTGAACATTAGATTCTTCCAGGTACGTTTCATTAACTAAGATACTAAAATACTGCCATAAATGAATGTAAAAGGTTTTAGAAATTCTTTTTGGAATTAAAAAAAAAAAAAAGTCTTTTAGCCTTTATTACCTCTTCTAGCATTGAGCATTTTCCCTGGGTTTTATTTTGCTTTTTAGCCCGATTCAGGGAGATACTAAATAAGTGGTGGTAAAGAAGGCTAGTAAAAAAAWATATATATAAACTAGATAGTTTGGGATTTTCACAGCTCTTTAAAGATGAATTTTATAAGAAAGGAAGATAGTAAAAGATGGAATAAGAAAGTAAAAGATGGAATAAAAGAATCCATGTGCTAAATGGTAAAAGGAAATGTTTTATGTAGTTTGGACTAGTAGCACCAAAAGTTCTTCTGTAAGTTGCATATTTTTGTGTAAATGTAATTTAGAGAAGGCATTGTGGCTGAGACCAGGTATTATGAGGTTTCTTTTAGGTGTGAGTAAAAGGTCTAATTTTAGAAGCTGTCTAAGGCAGTAAAACTGTAAGAAGGTTCAAGTAGATGATACATTTGGCCATCTTTGTAGCAAATATTGGAGTGGGAGGATTAATACACTATCCCTACTATAATACACTATCCCTTACAATGTTACATAAAGCCTTTTCTATGTACAGTTAATGATTCACATAACAAAGACTCCCATGAGTCTTATGAATGAGATTCAGTCCGTGGTATATCCAGTTGTGAATTTCATAATAGTACAATTTTACTTGTACTAGGTTTCTTTTTTTTTAAGGCTTCAGAATTCATCTTGTTATTGTTCTGTTAAACATCATTTTCATTATTATTTTTTTTTTTAAGATGGATTTTAACTAGGAACTACAAAGCCCTCAGCAAAGGTTCCAAGGGCAGTACCTCAGGCTTTTTGAACATTATGATGGAGCTAAAGAAATGTTGTAACCATTGCTACCTCATTAAACCACCAGATAATAATGAATTCTATAATAAACAGGAGGCCTTACAAGTAAGAATTTTTGACTATTACTTTGTGGTAAAGCAAAATTGTAGGAATGTTCATTTTAATTTTAACAGAAAATGGTGTAGTGCCTTATGTAATATATTGGTTAGAAATTCTCATTGGTTAATGTTTTACTTTAATAATAGTTTTGAGTATTTTTTAGTCATTATAAAAAAACTTAAAATTTTAATATATCATTATTTTGATCAGTTTTATAAGCATATTTCTCAAACTATGTATTATAGTAATTTACCCAGCAAAAAATCTATTAGTACATTCATAATTATGAAAAAATGATTATGCTGAATTTGTGAATTTGCAAATAGTAGTCCAAAGAATATCTTGACACCAGTGCCTCCCTTTTTCCATTATTTCTGGAAGATAAATTTAAAAATATGAGAGCATATCTGTAATCCAGTCAAAGTAGTACATTGGGGGACCAGGATCAAATACTAATGTATAATACATTTGCTTATTCATTTAAATGTTGGATTGCTCTTCATCTATGTTTTTGGCTAAGATTTTAGAGAAATAGTATATGACAACTAGCAAATAGAGCGAAACAGTTCTTACTCCTTTCTAAAAATAAAGAATCCATGTGYTAAATGGTAAGGGACAATTTTAATTAATGTAATATAGCAAAATGGTAAAGGTTCTAGAAAATTTTGAAAACTGAAATTGTTTTTAGACCATTACGAAAATACACAATCTCAATTGAAAATAATGAAAGTGTGTTTTTTTTTTTTATTTGCTTCTTTTAATGTGTTGTAACAGTTTAAATTTATTGTATCCTTAGCACTTAATTCGTAGTAGCGGAAAATTGATTCTTCTTGACAAGCTGTTAATTCGCCTAAGAGAACGAGGCAATCGCGTTCTCATTTTTTCTCAAATGGTGCGGATGTTAGATATACTTGCAGAATATTTAAAATATCGCCAATTCCCCTTTCAAGTGAGTATTTCTTTATCATTTTTAAGTTTCATCTAATTCCTCAGTTTATTTTACAGAATTAACTTGGAAATTATTTTGTAAATGAAGTGGATTTTTACATAAAATGTATTAGCCTTTGAAGAAATGTTTTTAAAAAAATACTTGTCATAATTCCCTTTTTCTTTTCCCTTATATTTACCAACAAAACACTTTTTTTCCCTTTAATTTCTTTTTAATTCAGTCTCTCATGCTTGCTTTAGATTTTGAAAACTATAATAGGTGGATATTAGAGTCAGGTGCTCTTCTCAGTACTTAAATATATTTAATCCTTACAGCATTTTTATAAATAGTGCCAGAAACATAGTTAACATTCAGTATGTACAGCTAGTAAATAGTATGTATTTTGTGCTAATAGTAAAATAGGAGAAGTAAGAGACTCACTACACATAATCCCTGCTCTGTTGGAATTCATAATCTGATGTGGGAGACAGACATTAAAGTGTAGGTAGTTACAGATGAACATAAACATTATCCCTATGGTAAATGCTGTGAAGGACAGGTTTTGTTGATATGAACAAGATTGAAAAATATGTAGTCATTTTTTAAGGGGAATAGTAGAAGAGTACCATTATATGAGGATTTTTAAAACCACTTTGATATGTAATTTCCATATTCCACTTAAAATATACCATTCACTGCTTTTTTAGCATATTTTACAGATTTGTACAACCATTACCATGTCAGTTTTAGAGCATTTGTATCACCTCAGAAAGAAACTCTGTATCCTTTAGCTACTCCTTGCCTTTCCATTCCTCCTTGCCTTTCCATTCCTCCTCTAGCCTTGCTCTGGTATATTTTTAAATAAGTTATTTTGTGTACAAGGTCAAATGGAAAAAATAGTACAGAATTGCTTGTAAGCAGTTCTTTACCATCAATTCCTTCTTGTTCTAAATCATTTCCTGAAGAGAATTACTTTTAGCTTTTTTTGTTTGAAACCATGCCACAATAGATGATGTATCACTATCCTTATGGGCTTTCTAGTTGTAATTTTAAGTGTTTTTCTCAGATTTTTCCTTTCTTTTTTTTTTTTTATAGCTTTATTTTATGTATTTTTATGTGGTGCTCAGGATTGAACAGAAGTTCGGCCCCATGCACGTAAAGGCAAGCGCTCTACCACTGAACCAAAATCTCAGTTCTTCAGGTTTTTCTTTTTAAAGTTAAAAATATGTATAGTGAAACTAAAAGTTCTTATAACCATTATCTTTTTAAAAGTAACATTGTCAGAAAATATTTTTAAAATTATGTCAGTTATGAACAATCACTTTGAGCTACATGTGTAAAATGAAAAACCTGAAAAAACTGTCAGCAGCAAGCAGTATATATTAAACATCATTTGCAAAAAAAGAAATCTAAAAGGCATGTCATAAATAACTGCTGTCAGGCTGGGGGTGTGGCTCAAGCGGTAGCGCGCTTGCCTGGCATGCGGGCAGCCCGGGTTCAATCCTCAGCACCACATACAAAGAAAGATGTTGTGTCCTCCGAAAACTAAAAAAATAAATAAATATTGAAATTCATTCTCTTTCTCTCTCTTTCTCTCTCTTAAAAAAAAWTTTTTTTAAATAAATAACTGCTGTCATACCTAGTTTATTTTTCCTTATAAACCATTGGCATTCTCCTTATGTGGAAGCTCATAGGGCACCTTGGGTTTTCTTCTGTACTCTCAAGAGGAATGTCACATTTAATCAGGCCACAAAAAGCAGTCTTTTCATATTGCCTTGGTGCCCTTTGTCCTACTTGACTCTGACTCAGTCATTCTTTGATAATTCCCTTAACCCAGTTAAGTAAAGTTGGCTACATGCTAAGCCAGTTGATGTGATTGCTGTTCGCTGGTTGGAGTTCCCATGAACAATCTGCACTGTTGTTGGGAAAAAAAGAGGGGGGCATTGTCAGGTACCAAGTAAATACCAAGTGAATATCTGTTATCCTTGGGAGATATACTCACAGAGTGAGCCTCTTGTAAAAATGGTGAATTGAACACACACACTTATTTCTTTGTTCTTCTAGAAAGTCACTCAAATAGCAGTATAGTGCTTGGGGGCTTAGTGGGTAGAAACTTTTCAGAACATAGATAAGAAAGGAAGAAATGGTAGAATCTGAATGAATGGTAGGTAAATTCATGGTAACTAACTTAGTAGGTCTAAATGAACTGAATAATAAATAATCAGTGCAAAAATTTTAGAAACACACTAATCTACATTGCAAAAATCTGTAAAGGTTCAGGAATTCTTAACACTAGTTATTCAGAAAATGAGATACAGGTGGGTTTTAAAAAAAACAGATTATTGAAAATATTTTTGAAAGGGACATATTTATACCTTTATTCGTTTCTGAAACTTCACTAAAATGGCAGCCTGGTTTAATGTTTGCTTTGTTATAAGAATTGCATTCAATGACCCAAACCAGTATCAACCAGAAACATGTTTTTACATACGTTTATTATAATCTCAGTTCCTGAGTTTTTGGTTTTACTATTGTAACTCTAGTACCTTTTAGGTTTGTTATTATCTAGCTATTTTCTGCTGCCTTACAAAAATACCATTGATTTTGGTTATTAATCTTATAGCTGGTAACTTTGTTACATGATGCATTTTAATAATTTAGGCAGTAATCATTCAGGCTTTCCATTTGATGGACAGTTATATTGTCTCTGTTAATTTTGTTATTTTTAATCCTTATAGGTTTTCTATAAAGACCTTTTTTTCTTACTGCATTGGCTATGACATTTAGTCCAATGTTGAATAGCAATACTGATAATAGTTATAATGATTCATCATTAAGTATAATGTTTTCTATAAAATGTTTGTGCATATTTTATCAGGTTACAGACATTCACTTTTATAATTTGTTCACTGAGAATTTTTATAAATGATTATTAAATGTCATCCACTATTCAAAATACTTTATACAATAACAAAGCAGAGGTTGACAGTTTCCCAACATACTAGTTTAACTCATCCACTGAATGCATGATCACAGTAAGCAAGTTATTTCTAATCTAAAATAAATTTATTAAATGTCGATTATAATTAAAGTGAGAATAATAGCATTGTTTTTATTTTGTTTTCTTTTTTTCCTTTTACTCAATCCAGGGCCTTGCGCTTGCTAAGCAAAGCTTTCCAATACTGAGCCACACCCCCAGCCCAATAGCAGCTAATATTTAGGAAGTACTCAGTGTATGTCAAGCACTGTGCTAAGTTCTGTAGTCTGTGAAGGAGGCACTTATTGTTATGTCCATTTTACTGAGAAAGAAGTTGACACTGAGAAAATTCAAATCTCTTGCTCAAGGCATTCAAGATAGTTATTCAGGCTTTTGGAATAAAGCCTTCAGTGCCTTTGAAGCTTTAGCATGTATTAGAATTAGAAGGAGGGCTTTTGCTGAACCCTTCTGATTCAATAGATGTGGAGTGAGGATCAAGTTTTAAGTTGTTATGTTCTTAGTTGACACTAATGCTATTGGTTCAGTAACCACATTGGATTTTATCAATGTTTTTTGAAGTGTGGATTGTGACCAGTTAATGGATCCTGGGAATCAGTTTAATGAGTTTCAACAACATTTTAAGAGATAAAACAGCTTCTAAATTATGAGACTATAGTACATCTCATGAAACTTATTTCAGGTATATGTATTCATTAACATATCTCCTACAATGAGTCTTAAGCAGAACAGTGTGACTGCTGATACTATATATTCTCTTGGAAACAATCATTGGTAAAGAACACAGAGAAAGAACTGGACATTGTTTTATTATAGTACTTTATATTCATAAAGTTGTAGTAAAGGGCATATGCCTTTTTATACTTAATTTTATAATTTTAATTGTTTTTTTAACATTTTGAATGTGGTATATGTCTTATTTTAATGTGTTTTATTCTAGAGATTAGATGGATCAATAAAAGGGGAGCTGAGGAAACAAGCTCTAGATCATTTTAATGCTGAGGGATCAGAGGTATGAATGCTTTAAAAATTGTAAATTTTGTTTCAATCCTATATTTTGTGTAGTCATATTTATACTTTGATTAAAAAATTTATTGGTATTAGCTAGTTTATTAGCAAATGGCTTTTTAAAAGTCTATTTTCTGTTAAATCTGAAAAACTTTATACTCTTCTTAACAATACCATTTCATCATGTTAATTAATTTGCTTTGAAGTGAATAACCCACTTTCATTTAGAATTCTTTGTTATGTACCTTATCCTTTATTTTTTAAAGTAATGAACATTACATATATAGTCAAAGCCTCATCACTCCCCTATTCCATTCCCTCTTTTTACCATAATTAAATACTAAAGTAATTTGTTTATTATTAACATGTTTATTTGTATTTTGGAGTATTGTTTATTGCTCTTTCTAAAGGTTTATATATTAATTTTCAATGTTGATTTTCAATTTTATTAGTAAAGTTCTTTTTAATTTACAAAAACAATTTTTTTGGTTTGATTATTCATTCACTTGTTAGAATTTTAAATCTTGCTTATTTACATTTTCTTATAGGATTTCTGCTTTTTGCTTTCTACAAGAGCTGGTGGTTTAGGAATTAATTTAGCCTCTGCCGACACTGTGGTTATATTTGATTCTGACTGGAATCCACAAAATGATCTTCAGGCACAGGCAAGAGCTCATCGAATTGGGCAAAAAAAACAGGTATTTTTGATTTCTGTTATTTTTACTAGTTTAGAATATTTTTTATGATTATTATTTAGAATTGTTTAAGATCATCAGGAGATAGAGGAAACATAGGCATTTTGCTATTTTATTTAACCAATTAGTTATTGAGGAAACCAGTTTACCACACCTGGAGAGTCAGACAGAATAGTTATCTTAACTATCTTCAAATAACTTGGTTGTTTTAAATGAGATTTTGAGCAGTAGCTGATATATTAGTCATATATTGTCCCTGTGCTTACAAGATAACACACACATAAAAGCCACTTTCATTTTATAGATTTTGTTCAACCAACTGGCACCACTGTAACAAAATATTTCACTACTGTTGTAACTATTCCAACCATATAGAACCTCTTTCTGACTTTAAAAAATAGAGGAAGTCCTTTTCAATTTTGGGAAGCTTTGTTTTGTAATTGAGGCTTCTTCATTGTCTTGTGGAGAGGTTCATAGAATTTTATATTTTGTGAGTGATGAAACATCAGAATCACAGGAACTGCCATAAGATCATTAGAAATTTACCATTTTTTTCTTTTTTCCCAGCTAAATCAACTTTAAATAACGAATTACTTTTCAAAAAAAATAGAGAAGAAAATCTATTAGCTAAACTGTAAAATAGTAAGATATATTCTCAAAAATTTCTAAAATTGAAGAACTTTAACTATATTGTTATTTTTATTTATTTTGCTTATAATAATGAAAACTTCATATTGGATGATCCAGTTTATATACGAATGTTTGGGCACTTCAGGTTAGCACAACAAATCCTTTTACTGCAATTTTCCTTCCTCATGCCTGTTTTTACAGGTGAATATATATCGTCTAGTTACCAAGGGATCAGTTGAAGAAGATATTCTTGAAAGGGCCAAAAAGAAGATGGTTTTAGATCATCTTGTAATTCAAAGAATGGACACAACTGGCAAGACTGTACTTCACACAGGTTCTGCTCCATCAAGGTGGTTACTTTAGTATAAAAAAATGCCATTTTAGTGTTACCTTAAGCTCATTTTTCTAAAATTTTATATCACTAAGTGGATCACTGAAGTGCTGTATTTTTGAAGACTAATTCAGTCAGAGTGTGTACCTTCAGTACTTGGTTTTTCCACTACAGATTTATTCTCATGAACTTCTACACTTCAAAAGTTCCTTAGTTTAAAAATAACTATATTAAAACTTCCCCATTTAATTTTCTTATGTAACAATTATAAAGGTGACTATGTAAATGTAATAAAAGTGCCATGTAAATGTGAACTATTAAAATTAAACATTTTTATTTGTTTTTAGTTCTACTCCTTTCAATAAAGAAGAATTATCAGCCATTTTAAAGTTTGGTGCTGAGGAACTTTTTAAGGAACCTGAAGGAGAAGAACAAGAGCCCCAGGTTAAAAAAAAAAAAAATGTATACTCAGAATGTGTATTATGATAGAAAGGAAAGATTCACATGTATTTAAAATAAAGTTTGTCTTTTAATTATAGGAAATGGATATAGATGAAATCTTGAAGAGGGCTGAAACTCATGAAAATGAACCAGGACCTTTAACTGTAGGAGACGAATTGCTTTCCCAGTTCAAGGTAGATTTCTCTTTATATAATTGAGAGGGATTGAGTTACCTAGTATTTTGGTAATTTTTCTTTTATATAATAAGTAAGATAATTTTTCTGTTAAAATTTGTTTTATAAAAATATTTTGTTATTCAGAAAAACCAGTAGCAGCTGATGTGATTAAGAGACCAAATTGCTTATGAACAGATAAACTTAGTTGGTTGGGGGAAGCTGTTACTTTCTAATTATCATCTAGAATAATTAATGCTCAGCAAATAGCATGCCCTCAAGTATTTGAGTAAATGAATGAGGACTTTTAACTGATTTTTAAAATATATATATATATTAGTAGATGATACAATACCTTTATTTTGTTTATTTAGTTTTTTTAATATGGTGCTGGGGATCGAACCCAGTGCCTCACGTGTGCTGGGCAAGTTCTCTACCACTGAGTCACAACCCCAGCCCCTTTTAACTGATTTTTATTAGAGCAATTTTTTATATTATATCAATTTAAGCATTATCATTAATGCTTATGAAGACTAATAAGGAAACACAATCACTAATAAGAAAACTTAAATCGATCAGACAAAATAAGCAGTAAGTTAACCATTTATTAATACTTATAAATATACACGATTTGGTGAGGGTACAGAGCTATAAAAAGATCTAAAACAACATATATCAGCTGATGTTATGGAGTAAGTTGAATGCCCTTGTTTAGTGTGCAGAAACAAGTTCCCCTCCATTTTATCATTTACTATGAACTGAAGTTGTCAGGATTCAATTCAACTCCTAGCATTTTTTCATTCAAAAAATATTTACAAAGCACCTATAATATGTGTCACACATGAGGGACACAGAAATGAGCAAAGAGTTGGTAATTTAGTCACTCTACTTGTCTTAGGAAGAATAGACTATAATGTGAGCAAGAACTGAAGCAGGGAGATAAATTAGATAACTATTTCAATAATCCTGATGAGAAGTGAAGGTTAATGGAACTGGCACTCAGTCTGAGCATAATCTAATTAACTGTTTCCTAAGACAGAGCTATGATTTACTTTTAATTTGACCAGTAATTTGGAAAAACTTACTGATAAGTAGAATAAATATAGATTATTTTTATGACACGAAAAAATAAACATTGTTATTTTCAGCCCCATTTCATATGTGGAATAAGCATAGTTTCTTGTCTTTATCCAGTTATAAATAAGTCTATACATTTTAATATTAGTATTGGTAACCAGCTTTAATGAGTGCTTGCTATATTACCAGACTCTCGGTGCTTTGAATGTTATTTTCTCCTCACAAAAGTTACTTTGCTGTTTCTGTGTATTCCTTTAGAAACGAAAACACTAGTACTTAGGGAACCCAAGTCATTTATCTGAATTCTAACAGAGCTCCATGTCTGTATCCTTAGCTCTTTACATTCTGTTTTTTTTTGGATCCTAAAGATAAGACTGTTGTGCAACAGCACTTGGTAGTTCATGAACTGGTCTGGGAATTCTGTAGAATATATATTATTTAACGTGTTAATAGTATAAACTACCATTTTTCATTATTACTTGTTAACTGACTCTAGTTTGTTATCTGCCTCTAGTTCTGTTACACTAATAATTTTGTTGAGCAGCAGGGCAAAGAGAAGCTTTCCTGGAGGGAATATTGTTAGAGTCATTTGGTTTGATTCTCTATGCCCTAATGAAGAAGTAAATGTAGATAGGTTAGTAGTCATATCTGGTTTAGCTTATAGTCTTAGTCATATTCATTTTCCCAAGATATTTTTGTTTTGTATTAGTTTTAATTATTTATTTATTTTTTGGTGGGAGGGTTGAACCGGGGATTGAACTCAGGCACCCAATCACTGAGCCACATATCCCCAGTCCTATTTTGTGTTTTGTTTAGAAGAGACAGGGTCTCACTAAGGCGCATAGTGCCTAGCTTTTTGCTGAGGCTGGCTTTGAACTAGCAATCCTCCAGCTTCAGCCTCTGGAGCCACTGGGATTACAGACATGCGCCACTGTACCTGGCTAGTTTTTGTTTTTGAGTGCAGCCTTGCTATGTTTTGTTGCCCAGGCTAGCCTCAAACTCCTGGGCAAATGATCTTCCTGCTTCATCCTCCTGGGTGGCTGAAATTATAGGCACAGGATGCTGTGTCCTACTGATATAATATGTTTTTTTCCCCAGGTTTTAACATGTTACCGTTTCTCTCTTTAAGAAATTTATAATTTACGAATACATTTTTCTATACTACATACTCTGTTAAAATTTCTGAAATTTATCAGGTTGCCAATTTTTCAAATATGGATGAAGATGACATTGAATTGGAACCTGAAAGAAATTCAAAAAACTGGGAAGAAATCATTCCAGAAGATCAAAGAAGACGGTTAGAAGAAGAAGAAAGGCAAAAGGAACTTGAAGAAATTTATATGCTCCCAAGAATGAGAAACTGTGCAAAACAGGTGACTTTGTAGTTTAAACTTTCCTGTTAGGAGTATAGTAATCACCTTGGACTGGTCTTTTTGTTTGTTTTGTTTTTATATGTATTTTTTTTCTTATAGTATCTTTGATTTAATAATGTTTACCTTATAAAATGAGTTGAAAAGTGTTCCCTTCTTTTTTGGAGACTATTAGAGAGCTTGGAAATATTTCTTTATTGGTGGAAGTATTGTTTGGGAAACTATCTAGGCCTATAATTTTCTATCGTGTTTGTAGAATATTTAATGATGTTCTTTTTTCACTTACCTAATGTTAATATTTTCTTTCTTAATCATTCTAGGTAGAATTTAACCTATTTTATTAATCTTTTCAAAGAATCAACTTATTATTTCATTGATTTTTTTCTATTTTCACTTTCATGTGTTTCTATTCTGTATCATTTCTTCCTTGCTTTTGGTTTCACTAGCTCCTTTTTTTAAAGGTTTTACGGTGTGAGCATAAATACTGAATTGTCTTTCTTTTCTAATATTAGCATTTAATTTTAAGGATTTTTTTTTATGAATTTCACATTTTAATGTTTTTCATTTCAGAATAATTTATAATTCTCCATGCAATGACTTTTTTGATCCATAGTTTTCTTAGAAGTGTGTTTTTTAAATTTCCAAATATTTGGAAGATTTTTCAAGTATCTTTTTTAATGACTTCTAGGTTAACTTGTTAACTCTATACTGGTCAAACAGTTTMCTTTGTACAAATTGGATTTAAAGGAATTTTTTTTTCTTATGACCCGAAGAAACAAAATACTTAATTTTAATATAATGGTAACCTTAGTGTTATAAGCTCTCTTATATCCGTTGGCAATAGGAAAAACTCTTAATTCGAGGCTTCTTTTTGCATTAATCTTTATTTTTTAGAACATTAAATTATAAGATTATTTGCATTGATTACTCAGATTTTTTGGTGCCTAAAAATTTTGAACCAGAGGTATGATTCCTGCTTTACATTGGTCCTTGCCCAGTTACCTCTTTTCTAATGAAAAAGTTTTTTTGTTTTCTTTCCTACAACCATAATAGGGGGTTCTCTCATGCCCTTAGGCCAGTAGATGAGAAGGGTTTGGCAGAGCTTCCCACCTGTCCCCCAGAAGTTGACTGTATTACCTTTCTTTTGGCTTGCTCCTGGGATGTTCCCTCCAATTTCCCAGCATGCCAGTCCTTCTCATAAGTGCCTGGTGGAGGAGAAAGTACCTGAGAGTGGGTACAAGTTTTTACCCTGTCTTTGCTTTCTAGATGTCCTATGCTATTATGTTTGCCTACTTTTAGCCTTTAGCAGGTGTTGTGACTTGCAGTTGCCCTGCCGGTAATATATTCAGGGATTCACATGTACTAGGCAAGCTCTCTACCACTGAGCTATACCCTAACCCTGCCTTTAGGAAATTATACTTACTTTCTTTTACCTGTTTGTATGATACTCAGAGTCTGTCACCTTAGCTCTTCATAAGTGAGCCAGTATTCAATTAATTTTCATCTCTTCTTTTAAACTCCTATTTTTCTTTATACTTTACAGAAGTAGATTTCCCTGTTATTTCATCTCTGATGCATTTAAGAAAAATTATGATTTTATAGGTTAGATTTATTTATTTGTTTGTTTATTTATCTTGCTTTTCCAGTAACTTTTTTTTTAAAATTTTTATTGTTGGTTGTTCAAAACATTACATAGTTCTTGATATATCATATTTCACACTTTGATTCAAGTGGGTTATGAACTCCCATTTTTACCCCGTATACAGATTGCAGAATCACATCGGTTAGACATCCACTGATTTACATATTGCCATACTAGTGTCTGTTGTATTCTGCTGCCTT